CATGGAGCCTGTCTGGGGTGTGTGCTGCTGTCATCAGCATCTAATGAAGTGAGCTTTAGCTCACACAAGCTTGTGCTATACACATGTGTGCGTGTGTCTGCACATGTGCACACACACACACGCTACAGATACCTACTTTGGCTAGTCTATACGATGCAAATCTACCTTGCCTTCTACTTGACTTCAGACTAACATGGCTAACTACGTCTCTCCATTCATCTATATATAACTGGATAAACAGTTTAACTGTTAGGCAGAGACACTGGTGTTCCTAAAATAATAGACTAGATATAACCCTAGTTTTAGTGACGCTGGTGATTTCCTATCACTAGAAAGCTGTTACCATCAGACTTTATTAGCATGCCAGTGTCACTGCAGTGTCACCAAAAGGATCTCATACCTTTGGTACAGCCATGACATATAACATATATTATAAAAGTTATTGCATAATGTAAGGCACTGAACACCACCTTTACTAAAATGCATTTCCACTTTAAACATTCATTATTATAACCCAGGGACCATTTAAATCTGTGTATCATCTTAGGAGTCTTACAGCATGTAAATCTTTATATTCTTTAAAAATATTAAATATATATTAATCTCTATCACTATACTCCCAAGAAATTAAACAGCAAAACAGCCCTGCTTTTTAACAACCTAATGCAGGGGACAGTAGCCTATAGCCCATGGTCTGGATCCGGCCTGTTGGAACCTTTGGATCTGACCCATGGATGAAGGCTTTGGCTGTGAGCGCTCCCCCCATGCTGCCACAGGGACAAACAGCAGCTATAGTATGGTCCTAGCACCTGGTTGCCTGCTTTTGACTTGGGGTGGGTCATTCTGGCCTGCAGCTGGAAAACTCTGCCTACCCCTGTGTGAATGCACAGTCTCGTATTCCCTCTGCTGACAGTACTTTGCAGTTGCTGTTCTCAAAGCTGTGCGATGCAGACAATAGCAGAAACCATGACAGCCAAAGAAAAATGCCATTCCCTAACAGGAGTGGTCCTAAGACCCCAAGTACAGAAAATGTTAGGAGAAACTATTTATGTTCAAGCTTTTAAGACATAAAAAATTATTCAAAGCAAATGCAACAAAAGTGTATTTATTACCAAGGGGCTGGGAACCAGGCAGACATAAATAGCATTCCCTTGTGTTTGATACCTGATCCCTAGCCAGTGGGTCTCATACTCACTTCGTGAAATACCCCGCATTTATTGCATCCTCTTGTTTGCGTAGAGTAACCCAGCACTGAAATGGTCACTCAAGGTGAAGAGTTCCTTCTCACCATGAAATGGCCCCTTTTGCAGAGCATGCATTTGACCTGCCACTGCTCCACCCACGCAAACCATCTTTCCAAACCTTCTCATCTAAACCAAATAAAATCTATGAAAACAGAAAGCAGAGAATCATTCTCTCTCTCCTTTCACTCTGCCTCTCCCTTGAGTTTTGTCCAAGGCTCTGAACTATGGGAGGCCTTCTACACGAAGCCTTGTGAACGCAGGATTTAAGGACAGATTGACAGTCTTAACTCAGAATTTAAATACTTTGTGTGGGTTTACGAGTTTTCTGGCTCCTCATTACTGAGATGATGACCTTAACATGAGGCCACTGGAAAGCCAGAAAAACATGAGCAGCAATTCAATTTTCTTTCCTCTGCCACCTGAAGTAACTCATTCTTTTGAAGAGCTGAAAGAAGTGGAAGGGTCATTACCTTCCTTTAGGGTGCTCCAAAGTGCGGGAGCAGGCAATGCTCCCTGAGGATAATGTAAAACTCAGTATGAAGAACCAGGGCATACCAATTTGTTTTTCAATCAATTTTATTTCAGTTCAAAGCTGAAGTGCAGACAGATAACAGAGGAAAACAAGCAACACTTTGACTATATTCAGTCCTCCTCAATCTGTAAAGAAGGCAGAATATAGCCACTGCATGGCTTGTTTTCCTGGGCTATCTATCTGCACTGACACTCCGAATGGAAATAAAATAGATTAAAAAATGAATTGGTGTGCCCCAAGTCATCACAGTGCGTTTTCCATTATCCTCTGAAGCAAGGGTTGTTACCTATCCCACTCGGAACAAGGCAGCCCCAATCAGAGAACAAAATTACCTTGTTACCCCAAAACAGCCAATAAAGGCAAAATTTGCTCCACATTTTTGTTCCTGTTGTGCCTCACTGTGCCAGGGATGCCGAATGCATTGCTGAAATTGTATAGGTTTTGGTGACATCTGTAATAAGCACAGGATGCAAGTCAGAGATCTGAGCCTGTTTGTCATGCGAGTTTACATCAGACACTGATTCCACGCTCTAAATGTATAAGTGTTTGCTATGCTGCTTTGAGCAGCTTCATTGAGCCAATCTATTCTCAGTAAAGCACAGGAGAAAATAGACCTCCTATGAGACTAAGACCAGGCAGAGCATGAAATGATCTGTAATGAGCCCTAATCTTCATATCAAAAGGCTCTTGTGGTTTTTAAGGGAAAGGCTTTCAAAAGGACAGTGTTCAAGAAGGGTCAACCCAAAATGGGGACTATTTTCCTGGGTTCTGGTGTGTCTGAAATGCCCTTTTTTCCCCAGGCTTAGGTGCTTAACTCAGGGCTCTCGGCCAGCACCTCCACTCAGAATCCACTCCAGATTGGCATCCACTCTTCAAAGGACAGAGCAGTGGCTGTCCTTTTGTTTTAAAATGAAACTGGAGGAAGTGGTGGAAGTACCACAGTACCCACCCTAACCACCAGTGATTAGCGCACTCACCCAGGAACTGGTGGAGCTGTCCTCAGGATGAGGGAGTTCAAACCCTCTTCTTTCAACCCAGTGAATACTAAAACCAGCAGGCTATGGCTGCTCTGACGGGAAACTCTCCAGTCCCCCAGGTGAGGCTCTGCCACTGCGCAGCAAAGAATGCAAGAATTAATACCCCGGAAAGAACGAAACCGTGATCCCAAGAACCAGGAGTGTAGGTTGTAGCTGTGTTGGTCTAAGGACACAGGCAGACAAGGTTATTTGGGTGAATCCAATATCTTTTATTAGACCAACTTAAATAGTTTCATAGTTGTTAGGGGCTGGAAGGGACCTTACAGATCATCGGGTCCAGCCCCACTCCACTTGGGCAGGAAAGACTGCTCGAATCAGATGACCCCAGCAAGATGGGCATCAAGGCACTTTTTGAAGATCATCCAGGGTGGATGACTGTACCACCTCTGTGGTTAGCCTGTTCCAAACCCTTGGCAGTTGAGGAAATTCTTCTTAGCCAGCTTTTGGGTATAAATATTCTTCATCAGGTTGAGGAAGCACCTGCAGTTGGTGTGCTTTTCCTGGATCAAGAACAATGACTTTGTAGCTTTGAGGCCAAGGCACTAAACTGGGTGGACAAGGAGACAGTTTTTTTTTGTTCCTGCTCCAAGAGCAATTTCTGAATTTTATTTAAGGACCATGTAACTTAATTTTCTTCCCAGAATAGCCATCACCTTGTGGTTATAGCACTCTTTCGGGGAGAGAGCTGTGGGTTTGAATCCCCCCCAGACTAAGGAATATAACCCATGTTTCCCACATCAGAGGAATGCTCTCTAAGCTTTAGGTACACAGAAGAATTGCACGACTGCCTCTTCCCATAGCTGTGTTGTAGAGAAGTGGTCACAACTACATCTTGTGTCAGTGTGTTACACGTGCTCTGTGAACACCTACCTGAGACAGAGTCCCCCCAGAGGACTTTAGGCAAAGGGCACATGGTATCAGTCAGGCTTAGGCAGGAAACAGGCACTTGGCTGCCAAGACGGGGACATTATGAACTCAAAACCACAGAAAGGACCTGGAGGGTCCTGTAAGATCACCAAGTCTGGATCCCTGCCAGGGAGGGGAACTGGGCTCCAACGAGCTCAACGAGGTATTTGTCCAGCCTCCTCTTACAGACCGCCAGAGACAGCGACTGCACCACCGCTGCTGGACGCGTGTTCCAGATTCTAGCGACCCGGACAGAAACAAAGTTTTCCTTATGTCCAGCCAAAACTTGTCCTCAATTAGCTTGTGTCCATTTGGGTGGGGGGGCTTTTCTGAAAAGTTGGTTCATCTAGGTCCTGGTGTCCTCCCTTGGCATATTTATACTGCAAAAGCAGATGACTAGGTACCTTCCTAATGACTCTAACCCCCCTCTATATGTCACATATATTATGCGATGAATAGGTCAACTGTGCAATTGATTTAGACCAGCTACACATGCAAAATAACCACCGGTTAGAGCTAGAAAATGCGTAACAACTTGATAGCCGGTTTCTATCCAGCTTTAATTTGCACGTGTAGCACAGCCGCTCTGCGTACCCGGGAACTCCTGGCCAGGGCGCAGTAGGTGCTGCAGTCCCCTGGGGCGCGGCAGGTGACGCGACCGCGGGGATCCTATCAGGTGTGAACGTCCGGACGGACCCTGGCTCCCGACGCAGGGCTATTTCTTCTGGATTGCAGCGCTGGGCTCGGGTGCATCAGCTACACGTCCCGTACGAGTCCCTCGTGCAGTCGTCACCCTCTGGCTGGACATCGACGCAGTCCCAGATGGGTGCACGCACACTCCTACAAGGCCTCCGCCACACCACCACCGCACAGGGGCAGCTCGCGCTCGTCAGCGTCCAGCTCTGAAGCTGTTGCAGGAGGTGTCCGGGGTGCCGCGTGCCGCAGGACACGCTGCGGTCCACAGACACGCACAACTACGTTTTACAGCCCACTGGACCACCATATACATCGCACACAGGGTTTGTTTTGACGAGTGCCCGCTTGTCCGTATCCCGGGAGATCCTCAGCATCTCCTGCACAGCTTCCCTCGGGCATGTTCAACCAGCCACCGGGGAGCCTGTGCCTCCCCCCCCCGCATGGGCCCGCCACGGGCACCCACTCGCCTCGCTTCGCCACGCCACGCCACGCCACGCCACGCCACGGCCCGGCCCGGCCCGCAGCCAGGAGAACCCCGAGCCCACCGCGCTCCCCCGCCTGCGGCCTGGTCGTCGCCATGGTTACCTTTATTGGGCGCGCCGCGGCGGACACGGGGCCTGGCCGGGCGCCCACGGCGGGAACAATAAAGCTTCAACAACTGCGCTGAGGCCAGGCCTGGGCGCCGCCATCTTGAGGCGAGCGGGAGCCTCCCGCATCACGTGGGGAGGGAGGGCGGCGCAGGAGTGGCTGCGGGGGGTCATGTGATCGCCGCTTCAGGGAAGGGTTGCTTCCTGTCACGTGGGGGGTTGCGCAACCCCCCCAGCTCCATAGCAACTGATGCCCCCATAGCAACTGATGTCTGCTCTTCCCTCACAGCAACTAGCGCCTCTTTGCCCTATAGAAACTGATGCCCCCATAGCAACGAATGTCCCTTTGCCCCATGGCAACTGCTGCCCCCGTGCCTCCCGTCCCTGGGAGGACGTGGCTGAGTGCTCAGCTGTCCCCAGGTCTGGGGCATTGGAGCCAGGCCGCGAGGGCCCCTGTGTGAAACGGCACTTCCCTGTGCTCGTTTTACACTGCCGGTGCGTGCGGTGCCCCCTGCTCTTGTCTGGTGGGAGCGAATCCATAACGAAGCCCTGCTCCTGTCCCCTCCAGCATCTCTTCTCTACCCCTTCCGTCTCTCCCCTCCATGCACCTCATCGTCCTGGCTGTCCGTCTCTGCACCTCCTCCAGTTGTTCGACATCGCGGTGGAGGCGTGGGCATGGTCTTTGGGGCGTGGGCACACCGCGGGTTAGAGCTGTGGGCTGGCAGGGAGCTCCAGAGCTCACATCTAGTCCAACCGCCTGCAAACCACCCCCAACAGTCATCACCTAAACTCTGCATACAACAACCATCAACCCTAGCCCCGGCCCCACCACACGACAGGCAGGGGAACCACTGCAGGCAATGTCCTGCATCTATAAAATGCTGTCAGCATAGACGGTCAGGCCCCATCTGCTGCATCATTTAAAGCATGGAGAGTCGGGGCCTTTCAAAATGTCTCCATAAAACATTTGCCCCTGGCAATACAAGAAACAACTTCATGTTATGTAGAGAAAGAAAATGGGATTATGAGAATGGGCTTTTTTTTTTCCCTGTGAGATCCCCAAAATGTTGGGTCTTGTTTCAGGGAAAAAGACAAACAGTGCAAGCTTGAGCACATATCTATTTTAGTTTTCATCCTGACCAATAAAGCCTTGTATAAAAGGCAGAAAACGGAGAACGAAATCCTATCACTTTGCCGAATCTTCTGCTATGCGAGGTGGTCCTCCTTTGCAGAGGATTTCACTTGTTCCTGTCCTGACTTCTAACTTGCAGGAACTAGACACAGGTGTCTTAGAAAGACATCCAACATCTCCTTACCTGCAGACATCAAAGGATGGAGAACTGCCGCTTCTCAGGGCAGATCAGGTGCTGGCAACCCTTTTTTGCCCCTGTGCGCCACTGCTTGCAAGCCGACCCCTGCCGCGGGCTGTGTTTGGACAAGGTGCTGCCTCTCAGCCAGAAGAATAGCACATCGGGTACATTTTTGTTAGCACATTAATGTTCTGCTCACAAAAGCTTATGCATCTCTGATTCTCTTAGTTTATAGGGTCATCTCTACACTGTCTTTGACCTGACTTCAGGCTAACAGGGCTAACTACCTGTCTCTGTATTTAATGAGAAAGGCATACCCATAAGGAGGAAGTGTTTTGTTCTTGAAGGGGTAGAGATGGGATCTCCTATGTCCTTTTTTAAGTCACTCTTGCAAGTCCTATGTGCTGTCACATGAGCTGGGTGCTTGCAGAACCGAAGATCCCAGCAACCCCCCTGCTCTACGCTGCAAATGTTGAGGCCACGGAGCCAAGCAGCATCAGGTTCGCTATGGGCAGGGGGTCATTGTGAACATTTGTGTGTTGACCACTAGGTGCCACTGCTGTGTCACTCAACGTGGCCAAGTGGGTTGTGAAAGCTGGATTCGGAGCAGACGGACCAAGCAGGATCTGCACAGGATCCTGCAGAACAGTGGGCAACACAGTCCCCACTTGCAGAGACATGCCCTGAGCATGCATCTCTGTCAGCAGGGAAAGGCACCTCCAAAGGGTCCCTGGGCTAAGACTGGCCAGTCCCAGCCCCAGGACCACACCGGAGTGATGAACTGGCATGTCTTGGTAGGAGGGGGAAGCTGGGCAGGCACCCTGGGGGCTGCGGGTCCCAAACCTGCACAGGAAGAATTCCTTTGCTCGTAGTGAGCTCCATCCCCAGGTTGCCACATCTCCTGCTGTACGCTGGAGGGCAATGTTGGAGTTTGAAAAGACAGGGTATTACTCTGAACTGAGAACATGATTTTCCATGCCATGCCATGCCGGTATGCAGCCCCCTTTCTTGAAAGGCGGAGAGGAGGGGCACTTCAGCCTTTTAAAGTTCATCATGTTTCCATTGTTAACCTCTCCATGTTCATCATGTTTTTATGACCCAAACATGAACATTCGTTCTCAGTTGAATCCTTGCAAGGAAAATACCAGCCAGACAGCACATCTTTCACAATTGCTTCAATTCCTTTTTTTTTCCAGCCAAAAAAAGCTAAACAAGTATCCAGTCTCCATCTGGAAGCCCTGCCATTGGGATCAGTGGGGAGCTGGGGGAACGGGGAGGGTGGCCACCACGTGCCAGACAGGCACAACAGGGCATGGGGAGAGGGGACATGCAGTTGCCCCTCACTTAGTGCCGTAGTTATGTTCTTGAAAAATGCAATTTTAAGTGAAACGATGTTAAGTGAATCCAATTACATCAGAGTAGTAGTTACCTACTACCATGCAGCAGCCAAACAATGTTATAGCTGAACATTGTGCAACTTTAAACAAGTATGTTCTCTAATAGATCAGCGACGTAATAACGAAACAACATTAACCGGGACGATGTTAAGTGAGGAGTACCTGTACACTGACACAGACACACCTCACACTCAGAAAGGTTTAATGGCGCAAGCCTGCACAAGCTGAAAGGAGTTTGTATATAGGAGGCTGCACAAAGGCAGACAACTCTCAGGAACCCATCAGATTCACAGAGGAAGATGGACACTGCCCACATAGGTGTCCAACTTAGCCAGGGCCAAAAAGGGCTATGAAAGCTGGCATTCTTTTGCCACCTGTGCATTTATATCCCTGGACAATTAAACTGCCCCTAGCCCTACTTTGCTAGAAGCATTGGCTCTGGCGATCCACAGGCAGAGCCCACCCAGGACCCCGCAAGCCAGCCTGCCTGTCTACAGGCACTGGGATCTCCCTTGTCTGCAGCCCAGCCGCACTCCAGGTTCCCTCCAGAGGGTTATGCAGACAATTGCAGGCTGCTCACTGCTGGCAAGGCAGAGTCCATAATGGAGAGAGCCAAGCCAGGTCAGACCACGTTGCAAACCCCTATTCACTGATGGAGGCGTTCTTTCAGATTCTCCGACCTTCCCCCTTGAGCATGACAGCCTGTGGGGAGAACTGTGGCAGCTGGTCAGTTCTGAGGGAGGCCATGGACTTGAAGCTGAGTCTACCCAGAAGAAATGGAGGGACATTTTTCTGATGTAAAATAACTTTTCTGCCTTGCTGCAGGGGGCTGTACATGTAGCAATGGCTTGAAATTGCAGCAAAATAGGTTAAGATTGAATATTAGGAAAACTTCACGGTTAGGCAGTAAAGCAGACTGCTTCGGCTGGAGGTCCTGAAGAAGAGGTTGGATAAGTATTGGTCAAAGATAATTTATGAGTAGATCACGCCTGGGGTGTGAAAAGCAAGAGTTGGAAGCCCAGGAGATCCACACACATCCCAGAGACTTTTCAGAGCATCATGAGAAGAGCTCTGCAACCCAGAGCAGGTGGATAGGACCAATTGGAGCTCCAAAATCAGCCTGGTTACCAAAGAAGATGACAGGAGCTGGAGTAGATTTATGCAGGGGTTTGGATGATGATATGTTCTCCAGTCAAGGTGTGTGATGTGCCAGGCTGTGTCGATGGTCCCCAGGTTGCAGTGCAGAGTGGAGTGTGTCTGCTTATTCTTCCTTGGCATCCTTTCTCCTATGGTCAGAATGCCACCAGCCAAATCCTTGATTCCCAAAGTGATTTAAATATAAATACCTTTGTGCCCCAATGCCAGATTCCCATAGGTATTTGTATCCAGCAAGGTATAGGAAGGATTGTCAGGTGGCTGTGTGCCTCATCTAGCTCAGCATGTTGGTACCCATCCTTGCTATCACAAACAGGGAACACAATATGCCTTAATCATTTTGATGAGCAATGACTTCTAGTCCACATTCTTTTCAGTGGTTTGGGGTCAGTACGGATCACCAGTGTATATGATGATTTTCTCACCACTACTAGCCTGCTGATCACTCTGTGTTACTTCCAATGAGTGTAACCTTGCCTCTTCTTTGCAAGCTTCCCAGCTCCTTTTTCAGCAGCTCTACCCAGGCTAATGAGCCCCTCACTTCTTATACTCTCATTGGCTGCCTACGGTGGCTGCTTCTAACTTCTGTTTGCAATCAGAGAAAAATAAAAAAGACCTCATGAGAGTAATTTAACCCCCTGCTCCAGGCTGGACTGTCTAAACCAACCCAGACTAGTACTTGGTTAATCTACACTTACAAACTTTCAGTGATTCTACAGCCTCTCTGGGTGATCTGTCCCAGTGCTTATCCACCCTAGGAAGTAGAAAGCTTTTCCTAATAGCCAACTTAAATCTCTCTTGTTTCAGTTTAAGTACATTCATTTTGGTCTTGTCCTTTTGGTGTCCAGCTCTCTGAAACGTGTATGACAGTCTATAAGAAGGCTGGGGCCATGGTGGCTTCTCCCTCATCTCAATCAACTGATCATTGATTAATAGCATCATTACAAATGGCAGCAAAAGGGTTGGCAGCCTGGTTTTGTAGTACACATACATTGAAAACGCTGAGATCTGTTGAAGTCAGACAACGTCCTCTTGACCGGAAGGATCCATATTTGAACCATTAAGTCGTTCTGTTTCTCATTCCCCATGCACGCATACCCATAGGCTGGTCGTTTTTCTTTCTACTTTTTGTGTTGCTTTCCACTGTGCACACTGGATCATACCTGTATTTTCAGATTGTCTCTGTCCTGCCTCTTGAGTTCCTTTCACTGAAGCTTATATGCTAATGGATCCTTGCAATTTGGATTTCATTTCTCCAGGATTAGGAGAACTTCTCTAGGCAGTCTCTTCCCTAGGCTGGAATTGCATGTTCTACCAAAAGTCCCATCTCTAGGGGATCTGTACTGTCTCCACAGTTACATGTGGATGCCACATTTCTCAGGTTTGAGCTGTTTCTATTCCCTTTTCTGCTTCTTAGTTTCCAGTAAGAAAACAGCATCTCTCTGCAGTTATCCTAGCACCCATCCAACATCATTATCATAGGTACCAGTATCTCAGGTATTATCCCTACCTAGCATGGGAGTCTCCCTCACTTCTCATCCTTTCTCTGAGTCAGATAATAAATCTTTATGATAATTCATCATCTTTATCTCCTGCAAGAAGCTATGTATACAGATTCAAATATCACCCTTGCTTTTTGTTTGGGAATCCAGCAATCCAGGGGTTCTGAATGCCTCCACATCACCTGGGGGTTGTTGATTGTAGCCGTGTTGGTCTATGAACATAGGCAGACTAGGATCTTTGGGTAGATGTAATATCTTTTATTAGACTGACTAAATAGTTGAAAACAATGTTCTTTGCAAGCTCTCGGGTACCAACACCCTTCTTCAGGCATAGGGAGAGTCTGCTGGTGAATTGTGTACTCTCCTGGTAGAGTATATTGGCTCCTGTTCTACCCAGGAGAGCACACAATTCACCAGCAGACTCTCCCTATGCCTGAAAAAGGGTGTTTGTGCCCAAAAGCTTGCAATGAACAAATTTTCCAAGTATTTAGTTAGTCTAATGAAAGATGTCACATTGACCCAAAGAACCTTGTCCACACTGCCTGATTTCTCTGCTTTTAAGTGCTGAGTTGTTTTCCTAACAATTGCACTCTCTTCTTTGCTGCAAGTCTCATTAGACTGAGTGCTGCCAACATGCTCAGTATCCTGTATGCTTGGTAATAACACGAGAGAACTCCATGGTTGTAAAAATAAACTGTCTCTCTATTAAGAGAGCTATTAACAGAAGTGCTGCAATATTCTAGCCATGTTCAACCAGACTTGGTGTCCCTTCCACAGTCTCTCCCTTTGCAGCCTGTACTCATCTCTACAGGGTCCATGCAGGTTGCTTTTCAAATCACCCTTTCCTAAAGGGCGGAGGCTTGTGCCAAATCATTTAGTCCTCAGTATGCAGGCTGTGTTTTGTGGTTGTAACTCAAACTGAACAGGTGAGAGGAAGCAAGATTTGTAATTTTCTCTGTGAGAGGTGGCAAACAAATTCCCTGTTACTTATTACCTTGTGTTGCCTGCTGCTTACACTTCAGCTATTCAAAATAGTTTTCTCAGATCCCAAGAGATCCGGGAGTTGGAGCCCAAACAATGATCTGTGCATTCTTCTCTGTCACCATTCATATTCTATTTAAAATGTTTCAGTAATCCACACAAGCAGAAACAACAACATGACTTTGGGGACCATGATCATGTCGATAGCCAGGGATAGTTAAGGCTGGCATTTGTCTTCACAGGGCCAGATCCATGGCTCTGACCTAGCCATGCAGGAAGTTATAATGCCTCTTAGTTTGGCAGGGGCTAGATCCCATCTGGAGCACTGTACGCAGTTTAGGGCTGTATACTTTTAAAAGAATATGGATAAGTTAGAAGGGGCCAGGTGATTAAAATGATAAAAGACTTGGCAAATAAGGAGAGACTGAAAGAAAGAGGCATATTCAACTTATGGAAAAGGTGGTTAGGAGGGCACATGATAGCAGTCTTCAGATCTCTAAAGGGCTGCCATGAAGAAGAGGGAGAAATCCTTTTCTCCATCGCTGCAGAGAGTGGGATGCAAACCAGTGGCTTGAAGTTGCAGCAAAGTTTAGACTGGACATCAGGAAAAACTTCTTCACTGTCAGAGCAGCGAGGCAGTGCAATAGGACTCTTTGGCCCAATGAATTTTTAAGTATTAAATGGAACAGTTTCAACAGGAGAGAGAGTGAAATCCCACATCTTTTAGTATGCCCTATCACTTTGTGGTTAAGATATTAGCCTGGGAGGCAGAAGAGTTTGGTAAAAACCTTCCACTATGAGAGGGGATTTAAAAAAATGCATTTTCCACATTCTTGCAAAGTGCCTTGAACACTGGGCTCTTGGATACAGGCAGGAGAGGGGAAGGGTGCCCTGCTCTCTGGCAGATGCCTTATGCAAGAAAGGACAGATGCATCTTAAAATCTGACAGTCTAGGGCAGTCTTTTGGGATGTGGGAAAGCTGGGTTCAACTCCCCATCGAGAGAGAAAAGAGCTGAATCTGGTTCTCCCCCGCCATGGGTTAGTGGTGCCCTTCTCACTGGCCTCTTGAGTAAGAGAGGTGTGAAAGTATCATCTCCTCACTGTATTTTTCTGCCTAAATTATTCCATACATTCAACCCAAATTTGCAAATCATTTTGGAATCAATTACAACCACACTTATTTTCCAAAGAAAGAAAAAAAGAAATTAAGGGGGGGAAGAAGCAGCAGTTGCCAAGCCCTACTTATGATTGCCCCTACACCGCAGCAGTCTTTGCAGAACCCTGCTCCCCACCCGTGCAAACCAGCTCTCCCCTGGGGGCAGCTAATCTGACTGACACTATTAATACCCAGCAACCAGGCTGGGGCTGCAGGAATTCGGCCTGACAGCCCAGTTCCCGTATAAATCACCAGGTCACGGAAGTCACAGCATTTATAAATATTGATATTGTCTTTGGGGAAATTCACCATTTCAGAGAGGAAGGTTTTTTTAAGCTGCATTAAATGGAGACGCTGGAGTTATTTTTGGCTCTGTCAACAGTATAGATCTGTGTGGATGCCCTGTGTGTGGGGATGAAGTGCGGGAGCCAGGGACCCGCTCCCTGCTACTGCTTCTCACTCCCCTAGTGTTTCAGCAGCAGCTCGGTGCTGCCGGGATATTTACTCTGGGGTCTCTCTGGGCAGGAGTCAGGGACCTGGAAGGGGTCTGGCTGTCACAGGACCCCTTTGAAAGGAAAGCAAAGTGTTTCTGCCTCACTCACTCGATTCACAGCACTCTCCTCGCCTGCAAGGGAAAGAACATTCCCTGGATACTCACGACTGCCTGCTCCACGTCTGCAAAAGGCCTGCTGTAGAGGCAAGAAACAGTGGCATTACTCTTGGCTGTGTTGGTTGCTTTCTACCGAGACCTATTTTGCAATGTCCAGAGCCTGGGAAATCTGCCACCATCCCCACCACGGCCTGTGCCCACCATTTGAATCTCTAGAGCTAACAAGGCTTCTGGCACATGCGCCTCCTGTTCCTGGAGATAACAGGGAAGTGTAGAGGAGGACTGAAAATCAGGGGAGCTGAAAGTAAACAGCATTACAAACTCCTGCCCAAGCTCCCAATAGACAGCAATCCCTCTGACTGGGACAGTACTTCACATCCACTCTGCACATGTTGGAAGTTGCCCTTGAAAAGCCACAGGGCCCAATAACCACTGTACTGAGCAGACATACCTGTGAAGAGCGCTATGCATTCACGTGTGCCAGCAAACTGTGCTCTTTGCATCAATTATCTGCTTTCGCACACACACAGAGCATATCTTAGTCAAACTCTCATCAGATGTATCATCTATCCTCCCCCCTCCCAGGGGCTGGGCTCCTAATGACTCCCCAGGTATTTAGTTATGTGATATGGACACCATCATGTCAGGGAAAAGCTATTTTGGCTCTAGGCTGTATAAGGAATTCCTAGCAAGCTTTCCACAAACCCAGCTAAGAACTAAGGAATCTGGTACAGTAGGTCTGGCATAAAGGACTGCGCAACCGGCCCCAGGACATGTCTTAAGGGCTGAAAAAGTAAAGCCACTCTTGAGCGAGACCAACGGGGGCAGGTCTCCCAGCCAGCACTGTGCCCTCCCGGCTGGTTCAAGTCTGCCCCTTCCTTGGGGGGGAGGCTGAGTTAGACCCTGGCTTTGCCCCATCTCTGGTTTCCTGGGGGTCACAGAGGTTTCTCTGCCGTCACTCTGCATGTCAAGGGAAGGCACTCTCTGAAAGTTAGTCCAGGTGAGACAAACAGGATGCTGCTGGGTCTAACAAGGGGAGTCTTGAGTCTAAAAAGGATGAGAACTGCTGTGCCGGAGGCTGCCTGTAGTCACGTACCCTTCTGGCATGTCACTATGTGAAGGGGCATTGCCATCTAGTCCCCTAGTACAGAGGAGACTGATGGGCTTGTAGGAAATGGCAGTCCCTTTTTGGGAGAGTGCAGGATTGTAGCAGGCCCTCTGGAAATGGCTGGGCTCTAGGCAGGACCTGGGGGAGGGCAGGGCTCTAGACCCCCCAGGGCAGACTAAGGTGCGGGAGGGGAGAAAGGACGCTGGGCAGGTGCCTGGGAAGAGAAGAGGGAGAGCAAAGGTCTGTCTGACCTGTGGAAGGGAGCACGTTGTGAACTTCAGGACAGTCCACAGCTCCAGCCATGCCCCAGGGAGCATGCCGAGTAATTGCATTTTTGTGGGGTCTGGTGAAGATTTCGAAACAAAAAACTGCACAATAAAATGTGAGTGAGCAGGCGCCAGGGTGGGTGCAGGGAGTACTAATGAGAACAAGCTTTTCCGAAAGCCTCACCATCTAATTCAAACCAGTTAGATAAGAGTGAGCATCGTCTCCCCTCCCAAAGCAATGTGTTTGCTGTTGGCCACTGCGGGCTGGGGAGTGCTTGCAGAGAAATCCACAGCCGCCCAGATACAAAGGCAGCAACGTGGCTGCGGCGGTCTCTGCTGCAGCGCTGAAAGAGACATCTGCTGAAGCTCCAACCCCGGGAGCTGACAGTCGAAGACCCCAGTCCTGCTCCCATCAAGCTGGGTGTGAGCCTTGCTACAGACCCCCATGAGGGAAGCAGGCCCCGAGCCCATGAACTGCAGGGTGCTGTGAGTTCCTTCGAAAGAGACCACAAGGTGCCACTCAGTATTAGCGCTGTTAAGTGTGCAAACATCAGCATGGGGTTTACAAGGATTTCGGATCCATAGTGCCCAAAACAGTCTGACCCGCTGGGGTCTTTCAGTTCTTGGCAACTGAAGAACCTCTCTAGTATTCTTCCATAGTTAACAAATGAGTGAAAGCTGCAAGCTGGCATTTTCCATGGGGTGCTCCCAGTCTAATAAGTCATGCCTTGTGTCTAAAATGGCTAAGAACCACTGCTCGAAGCCCACCACAGAGGGAAAGTGGACGCACGATGTAAGATACCACTGGCCAGAGAGTCTGGACTCCCTTGGACCAATGATTCCTCAGAAGCACGAGGAGAGGTGATAGCTTTCACCCCTTTGTGGTCATGGGGCCATATTAGAACAATAGAAAGATGCAGCATTTGAAGCTCAACAGAGCCCCACACCAGTTTAAATTGTTATGCAGCCCAGGGCCAACCTTGGCACTGTGAAGATGGGTGGAGAGCAGCCAGAAACAGCATCAAGTGACTTCACCTGGGTGCAGGGCAATTCAGAGTACTGCTTAGCTTAGGCAGGCAGAGCTGTCAGGTGCTGCAACTCAGGCCAATTAGTGAATGAGATTGAGAGAGAGATTCTTCCCACCACACCTGCTAGTCTGGGGAAAATACCCAGAGACTACAAATTCAGGTCTCTCTCTTTCTACTACTTGCTGCTGCTGTTTCTGTGCACTTCCCAGTTCTCGCTGCAAGTGAGACCTCTGATCCCTACCAGTGGAAGCAGGCTAATAGCCTTCTCCCATTCCATAAAGAAGGTAGCTGAAAGTTTGCATGAGGCCATTTCAGGCAGAGCTGGACATAGAAACCTGGACTGTCCAAGCGTGGGTCCAAATCTCATGCATTCAGTGATGCTGCCTTTCCAAACGAATGTGCTAAAGTTGTGTGGTGGATGATGCTCTACGTGTTTCTGAGCACAAACCTTCCAGCAATGACAGTCTTTTAATACACAGACCATGCTCTTCTATCTCTGGGATCCAGGGGATCTCTCTTAGGTTAGTATATGCCCTGGGAGTTGATGCCTCAAGGCATGGCTAGTGACTACAGAGCTTTTCACCTGCAAGGCACCAGTTCAAACACAGCACAGCTCAGTCAGGACTGAAGGGTGTTTCCATGTCATGGCTCCTGGACGGTCTCCCTTCAGCCTGCACCCCTTGCTCCCTGTCCCCTGCCCCTCCACTCCTTGCTGACCCCTGTAAGGGGACAGAAGTTGCCTCAGCTCAGCTCAGCTCCTGCAGTGTCCAACCTCTGGACGTGGTCAATGAGACCTTTCTGCCTGGCCTATGCCACGAAGTTGATCTTATCTCCTTGTTGTACCAGAGATCCTGGCAGCCAGGGAAATGCATGGGGCGCGTGCCAAGTGCAGGTTTGCCAAGCTCATCCTGCACCTGCCAGGGCCTCCTGACAAAGTGGTGTCACTGCGGTGGGCTGCAAGGCCACAGCGGAGGGGTGAGAGGCAGCCTTTGCCAGTTCACGTGGGTGGCAGCTGCATAGAGGGGGCTCTGTTCTGCACAAGCTGCAGCCTAACCACTACCCCATTTGTCATTTCTCAGACGCTTCCCTGACACTTAATAAAGCTGTTCCTGGCCTGCTGCAGGGCTGCGAGGCCCTGGCTGCTTCTGGGAGAGGATCTGTGCAGATGGGGGATCTAAGATTAGGAAAGCAGAGTAACGAGGGGTGATGGAAACAACCTCCAAATGAGTCAGATACATGAGTCAGCGGGTCCCAAAGTGCACAGACCGCAGGGCCTAGCCTCAGCAGAGCCACGTGAGTGGGAAAAAGTCGGGGCCCCGCTCGCTGCTTACCAGATCTGCAGGGAGATAGCTGAGCCAAGCGGCAGGTCTGCTGCTGGCTAGCCCAGCACACAGGGCACTCAGGTAGGACTTGGAAGAGAGAGCAAGCTCTCTGCCCTCTGCAGCCAGCTCCAGGGGGGCTGAATCCAGCAGATGTGCTCAGACAACCCCTAAAACTCCCTTCCAGCGTTGGGTTCAGCGCTCTTGGCCCCCTACCATTGTAACAAAACAACCTCATGGTCCTGGTGCGTCCTTCTCTGAATAGCTTAAGGATTGGGTTATGCACTCAGGGAGGGGGACATCCAGAGCTCAGACCCTCTTCAGTCTGGGGGGATTCAAACCCATGTCTCCCACTGCTAGGAAAAGCTGCAAAAAAGGGCTTATAGCACACTTGGATTTATTAACAGGGTTATCATATGCAAGTCACAGGAAGTCATTCTTCCACCTTACGTAGCATTGCCGAGGCCTTACCTGGACCACTCCATCCAGTTTTGGCCACTTGGCTTCAGAGGGACAAATTGGAGGGAGTCTACAGGAAAGATTAGAGGTCTAGAAATCATGACTTACAGGGAAAGTTTGGGAGAATTGGGAATGTTTAGTCTAGAGAAGTAGAAGAGGCACTTGATAAAGTCGACAGATGCACAAAAGGGTTGTTATAAAGAGGATGGATTCCCCGTGCCCTCAGGGGATAGGGCAAGAAGTAATAGGCTTAAAATTGCAAAAGGGGAGATTTAAGTTAGGTATTGAAAGAGCTCTCTACCTAGGAGGGTGGTTAAACACTGGAACAGATTATTAGAGCCTTGTGGAGTCTCTGTCACTGTGAAGTATTTAAATGAAGGTTAGATAAACATTTGTCTAGGATGGTTTAGACAAGGATGATCCTGCTTTGAGCTGGGAGTGGGGCCAGATGACCTTCTGCAGGTGCTTCCAGCTTTATTTTTCTAAAAACAGTTAGATGCCAAGTTCAGCCAGGACCCTCCAATTTGGCTGAAGCTGGGCTACTTTAGACTCTCAGAAATTACCTGGATCAGCGGTCTTGGTGCCTCATTCTCACCAGCTGCTCTGGCAAGCGCTCTCACCACCAGGCTGAGAGCGAGGCTGGATGCAGAAGCTAATGTGTGACAGAAGATGCCCAGTTGGAGCCAGACTATATCCCTCTTACTTGGTGCAGACTATATCCCTCTTATTCAGTGCAGACTATATCCCTCTTATTCGGTGCACATTATATCCCTTTTACCTGGTGCAGACTATATCCCTCTTATTCGGTGCAGACTATATCCCTCTTACTTGCTTACCGGTGGACTTAGGCATCAAAACTCATGTCTATCCCACCCTCTTCAAGTCCCTGAACGTCCACATTGCATCTGCTTTTGGAACACACCCTCATTTGGTCTTTAACTGAGACACAAGCAAGCAGTGAGGAGAGACCCTCCCCCCACACACGCACATGCACACCCCATTTGTATTCACAGTTTTGCAGGCACTAGAGCAGGGTGGACTAGATTGGCACGAGGTGCCTAAATCCCCCGATGGGCCTAAGAGGTGGAACAGAATCTATCCCTTCAGCTTCATATCAGAATGCAGACAGAAATGTCATTGAGGAGTGTAGACAGCGCATTAACCTTTCTCTCTACCACAGAGTTGGCACAACCAGAAAAGTGATCACACACAGCAGCTCTTATGTCCTCAGGGGTCTGCTCCTTCTGTGCAACACCTGGGGGTGAACACTGTCAAATACATCCAAATGCTTGAGCAAGTACTTATTTTCTATTGCTGTAAGGAAGGAGTGGAAAGGCAGAAGAAAGGCTGTGGCTATTTAAATTCAGTGTCCAATCTTATCGGTCTGCTAGAGCATTCTCTGTGAAGCTGGGCTTCCTGCATCTGCAAAGCAAACACACTTCCCACCAGGTGGATGAGCTGAAAGGTGACAGGAGGAGGAATGCAGTCCAGCTAATTCTTCCACCAAGAAGTAATGGATAGGCTTTAGATCAGGGGTCGGCAACTTGCAGCCCGTGGGTCAGATCCAGTCTGCAACGGCTTTGGGTCTTGTCCCCGGAGCTGCGGGTTTGGCAGCGTTTGGAAGCAGGCAGGGGGTTAGGCAGTCAGGCTTCGCCCGAGGGAGATCCCTCCCTTTGATATGCTGCAGTCCACGGTGCACCAAGCATGGAGCTTTTGAAGAACTCGGAGAGGCAAAATGAGCAGAAGAAAGAGGCTCAGCTAACGGCAGCAAAAATGAAATGTGCAGTGTTCATTAACGATTTTTTCCTGAGCACGGTAAATTTATGCAACATCCGGCAAACACATAAGTCATGTTCGCTGTCACACAAACCTCATAGAGGCAAAGTTATAATTTGCCCTGTTATTTTAGTAACCATGCAAACCACATGTTGACATGCTGTAGCTCAGTCCTTTGACCTGACTTATCTCTAAACATTTGGGGTGACTTTCACTAAGATATTCTTTTGCCCATCTCTGCTTCTGCTCAGGGACCGTTTGGCACCTCTGGGTACCTCTAAATGTTGTGTGAAACAAAACAGACACTTTAATCCCGTTTAATCCCGAACTCCTTGGCCCACATGTCTTCTAGGTTCATATGAATGGGCATTTGTGCCAGGTTTGCATGTGTGACTTCTAATCCTCGAAGGAGGCTACTGATTTCACCCTGGGTGTCACTGCTATTCCCCAGGCAGAGGTTAAAGCCACAGAGTCTTTTCTGTGCACCTGAAAATACTTATAGTTTCATTGAGTGTGAAGCACCTGTGTCTTTAGTTACTAGTAGAGGCTGCTGCAACAACTGGAAACTTATCTAGCCTTATTTTGTCTGCCTTCCTTCTTCATTGGATATTATTTTTGCCTTTTTCTGCCATTTTGAAAATCTGCCAGAGTCTTTTCTCCACGAATAGTCAACAAACCTTGCCTGAAAGACCTCTAAACACTCCCTTGAATAAACTAAATAGTTCAAACTCCAGGAGTCGTTCCTTGTAAGTCAGGTTTTCTAGACCTTACATTGTTCTCATAGCTGTTTCCTGAACCTTTCCAACTTTCCAATATACTTTTAAGGTGTGGACACTAGAACTGGACGTCTCATTTCAGCAATCATGTCTCCAATGCCATGTGCAGAAGTCGTACAAGCTCTTCCCTCTGACCTGATATTCCACTGCATTTATGAGCAGAGACAGCGTTCCCCCTTTTCACGCCAGCATGGACAGTACAATCTCATAGTTAGACTTGGTTTTGTCTATCAGGACCCCTTAGTCTATTCCAACGTCTCTGTTTGCTATGGGAACAGTGCCCCATCCTATAATTAAGACCTGAAATCTTGGCTCTTGGATACGCATTGCATTTATACTACAAAGCCCTTGATTTGGCTATATGAAAAGGTCGGGTTCATCCCTACTTCTCCAGCTTGCTGCTTTGTGTGCTGTCAATACCACATCTGTGTTTTCCTTCAGATAAGAGGTAAGTCCTCCCCCTCTCTCCCAGGCAATACCTCTGCTCTGTCATTAATCTCAAAAAACAAGGTCTTCACATGAGGCCATTCCTACCCTGGAACATGCCTGTTGTTTCAAACTAGGACTGAAGAGCTTCTCCTGTTTTCTCCAAGTACAGCCACGGGCACATCAGAAATATATTTCAGACTCCTGTTGTGACGTATTTGCCAGAAGATTTCTATTGCGTCTGATGCTTGTATGGCTAAAATCAGTGTGTTTTAAAAAATCTGATTGCTCCAAGTCATGTTCGTGTCAGGAATCAGTTGAAAGGGTTAAGCTGCAAGTTTCATGAGCTGGTAGAGAGACCGTAGGCTGCTCTTAGCGAGGCAGACAGAGAGAAGCAGGCATCCAAAAGCCCTCTTCCAAGCATCAGTTCACGTCTGCATCAAAGTGTCCTCAAAGTGACATTGGTGACCTATAGGCTGAGCATTTTCAAAGTCTGAATGTCACATAGGCCCCTGGCAGTTGTCAAGAGAATGGCACGGTTGGGATCTGGGGGGTCTTGTATCCCATCCCAAACACTGTGCCTCCTTCCATGGCAGACACGCACCGTTTGGGATGGGGCATGCCGTGCAGTTCCTCCTATTCCTATTGCACTGCTCTGGACCTGCCCCAGCCCCGTCCTCAGCTGCACGGCTCTTTCACAGCTTTGAAAAGTCCTTTCTTTCTGATTTCTTCGAGGGCAGGAATTGACCCCCAGCAAACCCCGGGGTGTTAGACAGGGGAGAAGGGCCATCCTGTGCTTTATCCACACGGGCCGTGTAGCTGGGCCACATGCCTATATTCTAGGCTCTCATGAGCGGGCTGCCTTGTCTGCTCACTTCCACGGGCTGTCTCTGCTCCCCAAGGAGCTCCTCAGCCAGTCGGTTCAAGAACACCATCGTTATGTAACGACAAGCAAATAAATCAAACCCTTCTGCCGTGTCCCAAGACCTCAAGGGAGCTCTTTGGCGCTGGGTCCCAGCACAGCAGGCTACCCGCTTCCTGCAGCAGTTGCATTCACAGGTTCCTTCCTCCTCTTGCTTAGGAAGCTCCCAGCACGACACTCGCTGCCTATCCAAATGCCCTGTCGTTGGGCTTTCCCGACAGGGCGGTCTGTTCCTTCTTCAAGGGACATGCTGGCCCGTTGCAGCCCTCCTCTCTATGACTTATGCCCAGGGATTTTTTAGCCCCCTATTCAAGGCAGTCTCTGTGTGCATGCTTGCTTACATGCCCTCAGTGCAGGAGTAGGAGAATGCAACCTGTGTGCAAGTGCCAGAAGCACCACTCACATGGCTAGAAAAGCTGCTATTGCACGGCAGGTACCAGAACGATATCCCTCTTGGAACTGAAACACTTCTCCATCATCAACCAAAGA